CTGCCAGGGGCACTACAGGCCTAGCAAGGGCACCACTGGTCTATCAGGGGCACCACGAGCCTGTCATAGCCAGGCATCTCAGGCTTGTCAAGGCCCAGGGGCACCACAGGTCTGTGAGGGGCACCAGCGACCTAGCAGGGGCACCAGTCAACACAGGTCTGCCAGGGGCGCCACAGACCTGCCAGGGGCACCACAGACCTGCCAGGGGCACCAGAGGCCTGCCAGGGGCACCACAGGCCTAACAAGGGCACCACGGGCCTGTCAGGGGCACCTCAGGCTTGTCAGGGCCCAGGGACACCACAGTCCTTCTAAGGGCACCGCAAGCCTGTCAGGGGTACCACAGTCCTTCCAGGGGAATTACAAGCCTGTCAGGGGCACCCGAGGCCTAGCAAGGGCACCACAGGCCTGCCATGGACACCACAGGCCTACCAGGGGCACCACCGGCCTTGCAGGGGCGCCTCAGGCCTGTCAGGGGCACCACGTGCCTGCCGGGGACACTTCAGGCTTGTCAGGGGCGTTACAGTCCTGTCAGGGCCCAGGGGCACCAGGCCCGTGGTGTCCCTGCTAGGCCTGTGGTGCCCCTGGCGGTCCTGTGGTGCCCCTGTCAGGACTGTGATACCCCTGATAGGCCGGTGGTGCCCCTGGCAGGTCTTTGGGCCCCCGGGCCTCAAGGGGGGGCCATGACCCATGTGACCCCCCCCCCTTGGATCCGCCCCTGTGTGAGCCGCTCCCCATGGAGTGTCCTGTTGTGTTCGGGGGAGGTTTGACAGTCACGGGAGGGTTCGGCGGTTAGGGGGGTGCAGCGGTCACGTGGTCACTAATGATGTGGTGATTGGTGACGCCCCGCAGCTGGTGATGATGGATGATGAAGTGATAGTGGAGTGGACTGGCCAGGCTCCACTCGCGCTGGCTGCTCCACCCGCTGAAATTTGGCCCCGTCCACCCCACTCCCCCACCTGTATCCTACCTCACTGCCTCCCCACCCTCCCCTCTCCCTCCCCCGCCGATAATCACCGATTCTTCTGACCCGCCGCTGCACGCGGCGCAGGGTAGCCAACCGGCCTGTGTGTTTTTGCCTCTCCTCTTTTGTGCCAGGAATTACGGGTTGTGGGCACCGCCAGGTAAGCCGGCCGGCCGGGGGAGCACACGAGGAAGGGAGGCAGTAAAACAGCGGGGAGGTTCGGCTCCCGATACCACGCTATGTAGTACCTCATCGCGGCACCGCCCTGCGCATGTCAGCGCTGCAAATGGAGCACCAAACGCACTCAGCGGCGGCGAGGGAGCAAACGATACAAATCCGTATAATTGTCACTTTGGATTGCCTGGATAGTTAATGTGCTAGCGCGGCCAATCGTAAAGCTGTTCACCTACGAATACCAACGCCTTATGAATACAAACATAAAATGATGACACTATTCCATTAGGAAGCCCTTCATTAAGGGAATCAATAATCATGGGGCGATATAATCGCCAAATACGTCAGCCAACACTGATGAAGAGCGCATACCTCATTAGGGAATAACCGTACGACAGCCGATGGGTATGATAAAGGCAGGCCTCATAAGATAAATCGCACCGCAATTTTGTGGATACTTGCCAACAAAACAACCCCCAGGTAATCCAAGAATCGCCCATAGTGGCACTCAAGTAGTTTTATGTTATGCGCGTACTGCATAATACTAGGTAGATGATACGCCAAAAAAAAGTTAACAAAATCGAGACAAGGGGTAAACGCGACAACCTTTCTAATGAAATGCCTTTGCTATTACCTAAAGGGTCGTATCGTCATCCAGGATCCAATGACTCGATGCCACCAGTCCCAGAGATAGCCGAAACACACACACACACAGACACACAAACCCACCGACGCACGTGTCCAAGCGTCGTTAGGGGCGGCCGGGTCGGTCCGATCGCTGGCCGATAATTCCAGTGTAATTTGCCGCTTTTTCACCGTCCACCATCACCAATTAGACATACTTAGTGTGCGGCCAGTGCGCTATCTGGGAGACATCGCCACTCGGCCATGGTCAATGTCAGGGCAGAGCCCAGCTGGTGGACGCCGGTAGCATCTGATAGCAACGCCACTTAGTGCCAGTTCATACCAATCGAGCCAGAGTTGGGCCCAGTGATGCTTGTGAGCTGGATTTCGACTGGATAACTGGTCAAGATGGTATGGAAAAGACAGTAGACACCCGGTGTAAATGTGAGGCTCAAGCCGGACAGGAAGATTTTATTAGCAGTGATTGATTGAAATGGCTTGGTGGTCAGTATCAAACGATCAATTGATAGTTTTGATCAAGGTCATTGAGTTGCATCGACTAGTTCATTATCCTGTTACGAAGAAAGGGATCAGCACACATTCCTGCCATTGTCTCTGTGCGTATATGACACCCATTTGAGCAGTGATTCATTATTATATATTCATTATATATGGCACATACGAACAATAAGAGCAGGCTCACGATTCAATACGAGAATGGGTACCGCTAATTCTAGCGATGGTTCGCCGTGAATGCCTTAAGCAGCACACGGCGAAGTTCACTCGAAACGATGAATGATGAGCGTCATCCAGACTTCTAACCACTAACGGGCGCATCGGCGGCTCAAAAAGAGACGTTGATGTCTCCCCACGCTTCGCCCACGTTGCGTGTACCGCTGTGACACGCAACATGGCGTGCGTAGCGACGTGCATCGCTTTGTGCACATCAGTGCAGCATAGCGTGCAGGCCAGTGCACATCAGTGCACAGACTGATTCCAAGACACCACTTGGCGTGTCCATCCCAATTATGACAGGCCTTGGAGACAGAACATCTCTTCAGGAGATGATGAACACAAAGTGGTCTTTGTGCCGGATATGCTACTCGACAGGGACTTTGGAGGATGATTCAGTTCAACGCACAGAGAACACGGACGACTGGAAGAAGTCGGACACCAGTGGGCGTGCTTAACTGGGTCGCTCTCAAGGAGTCTTTAGACGGACTCTAGTCTCTATAATGCGTGCACTTCTTGCACAAGGCGCCAACGTCAACCGGGTCACTTGTGGCCCAGCCAGTTGCTAGGAGTAGGGTATCAAGCTATGAGAAGTATTCCTTCTGAAGCTGGTCAAATATTTAGAGTCCATTCAAAAGGACCTTTCTTGCACCAGGATGCGTCTCTTGGAGACGCTCATTCACGACCGCAATTATTATAATGATGTAAGGCGTCCTTCAGAGGTCATCACTCGAACAAGGATTCACTCCGGTAGCGTATGGCTTCCTACCCCTGCATAAGGAGACGAACAAGTAGGTACCGACACAGCCGATCGAGCTGGTCGAGAAAGCGGAGCGAATGATCGCCCCTGTTGCCGTGTCGGGTCAGCGGTGAGGCGCGGGCAATACGCGGAGGTCACAAAGTCCAACTCTCACCCGCGGGTTAGCTTTGGTCAACGATGTTGCAACCCGGTGATAACTCCTAGCGCATGCACGATGCTCGCTTTAATGTGTGAGAACTGAAATGCGACGGGTTCTTACCGGTGTTATGAGGTGTTTAAACGTGACCAGGAGTCGAAACATGCTGTAGGCACGGGTATTTCGGAAGCATTGAAGCGTAAAGTTTGAATGAAATGTGTGCAGGTGTGCTAGTCAATTTGAAGATCCATATATGCATAGTTGTTAATCATCGTGAGCAGTAACGGTATAACTTGCAAGAATATGTGCGGAAACTCGGCAAGCACATTTGTCGCATGTCACCGTCCATTACAAAGCTGGTATGAATGAGCATTGAACATGTTATCATCATCAGGAAACATCGGATGCCATCGATAACACTGAATTAGGGTCTTACAGCAGTTTACGTGTAAGCTGAACACTTTTATACGGTAAATGCACGGCACTAGAATATTTTCCCACAATTCATCAGCCGCGATGAATGGCAGACCCAGGCCCAGCTGGGTCCAAATAGGCTCTACTGATTACGGGACACCTAAAAATACCAGTCTACAGTTTATGTAACCCGTGTAAAGGTATGTTGTCTCGGCTTTAATATGATTAACTCTGGTCACGACTTCTGTCCATAGCTTTTGACCATGACCGGATGCGTCACCCACGCACCGCGTTAAACGGCATTTTTGATAAACATAATTTAAAAACAAGTTTTGGCATCGACTGATGTCCAAAGCGCATGTAAATTAGCAGTTGAACCGTGTACGCGATAGCTTTAGCCTTTCTTTGTCAAGATTGGCCGGCGATTTTTATTTCACTAGCAACAAGAAAAGTAATGCATTTGCTTTATCCTGTTGCTCAAGTCGAGGAACAAAATAAGACAACGCGGTGTGCGCCTATCATAAAGGCGAATCATACTTTTGGACAGCCTTCCAATGCAAAGAACGGCGAACAAAATCCTCAATATAGAAGGCCTTCGTTTAGCGTCCCGTGACCACACGTTATCACACAATTACCTCATCTCCTAAAGCCTTGCACATTCCTGACCCTCTCCCATGTATGCGTATGTGTGCGTGTGTATGTGTGCGTGTGTGCTAAAGCCACCAGCGCGTGTCCCCGGGGTCTGTTCAAACGCCGCCGAGCTCCCTCCGAGTGGCCTGTCAACAGACCTGACATACGGGTCGGGATCGCCCGCCCGGCCCGTCCCACCAGAGGACAAACATGGTCCACTGTTCCTGAGGCCGCCGAGTGAAGCCGTCGGACGGAGCTCGGACTGTTTGCTTGCTCGGACGCTGATTGTGAGGCCGTGTTTGCTGTCCCCTGCTCCCCATGTTTGCTGAGCTGAGAAAGATGTCCACCCTGGACCGCAGGACTTTTTACGCTTTTTAGTCTCGTTTGTCGAACTGGTTTGGTGTTTCTCGACTGTGGATAAGGAATGTGGGATGCAGTAATATCTCGTTACGGAGAGAAACAAAAGGGAATTGCTGCCAACGACGATCATCAATAACGCTGACAAAGCATCGGCGTGTCTGAAAGATAAGGTCACACTCAATAAAAAGATCACATTGAGCAACACTTACCCATAGACCAAGTTCCCTCAGAAGATCTTCAGAAACACAACCGTCACTGTGTCCCTAACTGTCAGTCTCTGTATCGCTATGTCTCGGTCAGAGACACCGCACAGAGTGAGAGGTTTGACCTCACCGCTTTGCTCCAGCAATCCCACTGAAGACACGGCAGATATCCGACCCGATTGCTTCACGCCAGATACCGGTCACTCAGTCACCACTGTGTTCGATTATCTCACAATGAAGTCTGCATACGCCCACAGTCGCACGAACAATGTTCAATCGTTCAACAGCCCATTGGCACTGAACGCGCCACAGCAGCCCGAAGCACACACCACCCTCACACGCCAACGGGACCCGACTGCCGCGTCGCCGGCCGCGGAGTCGCGGACGCCGCCGCTCGGCTGTTTGCGCATGCGCGCTCACCAACTCTGGACATGCTGGACCGGGGAGGACGGGCCGTAAAAGAGGGACGGCGGGGGGGGGGGGGGGCGGGGGGCGATGGCGGTCACCATACAATGGTGAGTGTGGGGGTCACTGATGCGTTTATTGTTGTGCTTTTGACATGTCTTGTGACCCAGCTATCTAATTCCCTATTTGTCGTTTGTCATTTACAAGATATATCGTTCGTTTTACAAGATAGGTGAACACGCTAAACGGTACACCGACAAACATACAAAAACATGTCATGTAGTCACTGTTGAAGATAATTATGATTAAACTCAGACGCTACAAAATTCCACAGAAATAATCGCAACATGTCCCATTTCCGTTCCGTTCCGTTTATTGATTATAATTTGGGATCACACATTGGACAATTCATAATTTATGGCACTGTCAAACGGGATTGGTCGGAAAGGATTCACATGTTAGTTTTGAACCACATTTAACCCGCGCCCCACTGGGGTCTGCGTATAACACGCCCTACTGGGGGGGGGGGCTATTCATAGCCCCCCCTCCTAACTCCGAAACTACTGGGCCGATCGTCAAAATTCAAACGGCGTCTGATAGCCCCGGAAAAACTGTCGAGCGAAACCTAATTTCATTGACCTTGAGGTCACCGATGACGTCACAGGTCAGGTCAAAGTAAAAATTATTAGCATTTTGCTTGTTCGCGTTTTGGGCTCTAGCCGCCGTCTTACAAGTCAGATCAGGCTCATTTTTGGTTCACACACTCGTGAACAGATTCTCTAGATACCCTGAGGGTACCAAACTTGTACTTTGATTTTCAGGTCAAGGTCAGGTCATCACAGGTCACGAAAATATTATATCATGCGTCGGTCACGTGACACATGTTTTATGGTCCATTTAGGCCAAATATTTCGAATTTGATGTCGTCTGTGTCATTCGAGGTCATTTTGAGTCGAATTTAGCTTAGGTCAGGTCACTTTCAGGTCAAAAAAGGTCAAATTTTGAAGTTATAATTTTTCAACAGAAAAGGTGTCTATTGGATGCAGTTTGAGCTCAGGAACACGATGGTGCTATTTATATTGGTGTACGATGTCAAATACGTGCTGAAAAATTGATTTGAAAAATTTATAATTGTGAATTTTTTGCAATAATGCGCATAACTTGGCCATTTTTGAAGATATTTAGCTAAAACTTGCTAGAGTTAGTCATACTAACGCGTTCTATCACATATATTCCGTTTTTTTCGAAAAGTCAAAAACTCTTTGAAAAAATGTAAAAATGTAAATTTTGAATTTTATTATATAAAATTTTCGAATTTTTAAAAATGTCGAAAATCCGAGATAGCAGTTTGATAGCGCAGTCTATTCTGAGTCCTATCATGCAAAGAAATTGGATCTAGCTTAAAAACTGAGCCCTTGGGTCACACCGGGAGCCCTATGAAATTAATTGAAGAGCTGGGAGAAAGCATCGTTACTTTTGCGCTCGTTCTTTTTGGGCTTGTGGAATACAGTAAATAATGACGCACGATTTCAGTGATGATATGCCAGGTTTTATAACGCTTTAAAATTGATTCCTGACTTACCTACATCTGATTTGATAATGTGAAACCATTTATTGTCACCGATGTTTGAGGCCAGCGTTCTAGATGTGTTTCGTGGAAAAGAATTATGCCGACCATCAGTATCATTTCGTTAGCGCTTCTGCAAAAATGAAAAGTGTTTGTAGACTAGCCATGACACCTAGGGATAGTTTTATGTGGGGGTAGTCAGAGCATACATGTGTTTGTGTACGCAAACTTCAATGTTTTTTAAAGTATTCATGCCAAGCGTCAATGACTTCGTCTTAGACCGGTGTTTTCCCTGTTGTTTTGCAAAGTTGTCAGATGAAAAATGATTTAAGAAACCTATTTTATTGACGATGACGTGACAATATAGGTACCCTCGGGCCTCGAAAGAAATGGCAAAGAATGTTGTTGCCGACAAGGCTGCACTATTTTCACTGCACTGTGAACAGCCGAACAACTTCAAACAAGAAAATATTTTTTTTTACATTACGTGTGTCATCCTTTGAATTGGCCATTCTTCTTTATCAATCATAGCCTCATGACTTCTTAATAGCTACAAATATTCACTTTCCGCGCCTAAATATAGCGCCGCTCGCCCACACAAGATACTAAACAGACCCACTACATCATATTCAAGCTTTATGCGTTGTCATCGAAATAAAATACCACCCATCAACATACACCTATGTTCCGAAATTTTGACCGGTTAGTTCACACGCCAATAAATCAAATTCCGAACACACTGCCCCGTGCGAAACTCAGCACTACGCCTCGCAGACAACAATTAGCATCACACCGGAAACAGGTCAGCATGAGAAATGCACCGTGTAATGACTGATCACTCTTCAATTTTTCCTCGTAAACGCTTATTTTTCGCTGGATTTTTTTCCGTTGATTAGTTGTCTGGTGATGAGTAATTTAGAGCCTTTAGGGGCATATGTATATTTCTGCTGCGGAATCATAGGTAATAGATTACTTAGACCACCTTAAACGGACAAGATAACACCATAGTCTCTCCAACACAACGCCTTACATCCACGAATCACGATCCAGTCAGAGAAGGCAGCAGACAGCAGACTAAGTATTGACTATATGTACCTACACTGAAAAACACACGCGAAAAAGCTAGAATTTATGTAATAAGATCCGTGCTACAGTAGTCACCCAGTTCATGTTATTAAATCTTTGATGTGCGAGCACGCTCTCAACGACAAGAAAATTGTGCCAGACAGTAGGGTATGTTCCGACCACGAAACCGCAGGCACTGAAGTGTGACATTGGTTTCGTCCTGTGATCTGTCCTCGCGCGGTGGGATACTTATTACAGAAATAGGTGCGAGAGAGAGAGAGAGGGGAGAGAGAGAGAGGGGGGAGAAGCAGAGGGAGAACCAAATACAGACAAATAGACAGACACAGAGACACACAGACACAGACAAACAGGCACGGAGTTTTTTTGGGCTAGGAAGACAAATTTTCATTTAGTCCATAGAATTTAAATTTATCACCTAGGGAAGGCGTAACTTAAAAAGCAATTTTGAATGGTCCGTGAGGGATTTATGTAGATGCGCAATGTGCATTGTGCAATGTGCATGTCTTAAAGGCCAGCTTATTGTCTACCAAGCTGTTTTGTTCGCATTTCATAATGAAAACTATGCGATAACTCTGCTCGTGTCCTTTCTAAAAAGGAAACTTGTCAGTGTCTCGCCATGCTCCCAACCCAAGGCGTTTGTGTACCCGTTCTTGAGCCAAGGACCACGGTACATTGACCCTTCCAGCAGCGTCATTAGCCCGTAAGTGAACAGGTATTTTACGGCCGAGACTGCATAATTGCTGCAAGGCGACATAATGGCAATCATAGGCCTAACCAGTCACGGCACCGGCCTCAGGCGGTGCTCCTAATCATGTAACGGTCACAGAGAGGTCAGAGGCGGTGGTATCGTGATACGGTGACGTGATCCTTAGCAGGGACAGAGAAGCATAAATCAGTTGCGCATTGAGGGATTGGATTCAATATTAAAGCTTTTACTTTGCTTGACGAAGTAATTGGCAAACTATCGAAATTTGTATCTGATAACCGCGCACGAATCCTTTGCGCAGGCGATTCAACGAGTGAACGGTTCGAAGAGAGCACGACCTTTAAATAAAGTAAGAGGATACCATATTACTCGCATGCAACGCCTTCCCCTTCATCACATTTGCCCGACATGAGCAGATCATACACGAAAAAGCCATAGGCCCATGCTGTTCGACAAATTGAACACTGGCCATGTCATGTCACCATTGATTATGTACTTGTACAATTCAGGGGCGGATCCAGAAAATCTCCAAGGGAGGGGCCATTAGAAACCAGGAGGCCCCCATAATCCCACCTGTTGGAGGCCCCATCTTCCCACTTGTTGGGCCCCCCCCCAAAAAAAAAACTGCGTCTATTGAGCTTATCTAGCTGTTCAGGCAACATCTCAACATGAATAGCCACTTTATTTTCAGGAGGCCCCCTTTTCAGCTTTTTAACTTTTTATTTTATTTTTGAAAAAAATCGGCCAAGGGGGGGGGGGCCATGGCCCCCATGGCCCCCCCCCCCTGTATCCGCGCCTGGTACAATTGACCCTCAATGACCTGTAAGACGGTCAACGTTTCTATCAATCTCCGAAATGGAAGATCTCCCCACCTCTCTCTCTCTCTCGCTCTCTCTCTCTCTCTCTCTCTCTCTCTCTCTCTCTCTCTCTCTCTCTCTCTCTCTCTCTCTCCCTTTCCCCCTCTCTCTCTGTATCTCTCTCTCTTCTCTTCTCTCTCCCTCCCCATCTCCCTCTCTCCGACCTCAAACCGGGTCCATCCTCAGCACACGTTGCGTGCCGTCTCCCCACCCATCATCCTCCATGCTTGGAGGCTGAGGTCATTCAGCCCACACCGACGACCGCTTCCCGCCATGACCTCAGGCTACCATGCAGGTAGCACGCCCCAAAGCGACGGCTACCGTCTTCGCACCCTGCTTTGAAGCTCTAGTGAGCGTCCAATGAGCCACTGACACGATACTAGCCAGAGGGCATGGCTCAGCTTCCAACTGATAGTTGAGGCTGGAGTGAGATGATTTTGAAGTTGCGCTGCCTTCCTAGGTAAGGAGGTTACCAGTTGGAACGGATTAGGTAGAGCCGATGAGTCCATTGCGGCGTCTTTTTTATCAGTCGTACGGCAAGCGAAGAGGAGACGTCCAATGTCCGATGAAGCAAGAGATGAGTGGGATAGCTTGCGGCACATGGTGATGTAGTTACCCGTCATTAACCCTGTAATCACCCAGGAACAGTAGCTTGAGTACAGAACGGTGCATCATGAAGGCCGCTTCCATGCAAAGTGGGTTTTTGAGGGATAATATCATCATTCAGACCATACCGTAGTTATCTATCGTCTCTCA